CAGTTAAAGCAAATAAAGTTGACTTTGGCTCAGTAGTTTCACAGTCTAAATAAAAAGTAATTTGTCCAGTGATCTATAGATCTAATCTGTGAATATACTAGACAGTTAAAATATGTGTGCATTACAGCAATAAGGGCAAATCAAGGTTAATCACCTTAACCAAATAACAGATGTTTTAAGTTTGCAGTGTATCAGTTTCAGGGGGATGTAAAATAAACCCCAAATAGGATAGACTGACCTGACTGGTGGGATGGTGGGTTTTGGGAATGCATGGTCCTAGAACTAAACAGGTCTCATGTTTTACAGAAAATGTACTATGTCATTATATACAGTGCTTAACAAATGTACTAGACCACCACCCAGTGTAACACCTATGCCACAGCTGCCCTAAACTACCAGCACTGGTAATTACCAAAATCATTTTTTATGCTTCTGTAATAATTCATTTATATAATTGTAATTATTGTTATTATAACATCCTATATTAATAAAAAGATGAAAAAAAGATTAATTTAGTTTGAACTTCCTCATTCCTGTTCAAAATGGTAAACCATTGAGAGGTCACTAAAATGAAAGAGTCCACATTAAAGCACTTCATGGTGCTGGATGGTCTCTGAGACAAATAGGGAAAGACATAAAAGTTTTATCAGTGTGGTCAAGTATGCTTTGGAGTCAGTTGCAAGACTGGTAGGCCAATGACGAGGCAAGAAAGGAAAGTTAACTGAAGCAGATTTCAGACACCTTAAAATTTTAAGTTCTAGAGAAGGACGACCACTTCTGATCTTGTGGCAGAGATGAATGTTTCTAGATCAGAGTTTGAGAAAATCTCCAGAATGACCACAAACAGATGACTGATGGAACAAAGCTTAAAGGGAAGATTATCTGCTAGAAGCCATTATTGAGGACTGTAGACATCCAGAAATGCCTCAGATTTGCCAGTGAGCACAAACACTGGACTGTTGATGACTGGAAGAAGGTGCTCTGGAAGGACAAGTTCAAGTTTAAACTCTTTCATCAGCATCGATGTGTTTATGTCCACACGAAAGCTGGAGAACGTGTTGATGCCAGATGCATTGCAACAACAGTGAAACACGGTGAAGCTTCCATTATGGTATACCATTTATGCCATTTGTGGAAATGGTGTGAGCAAACTAGTGAAAATCAACAGTGTCATGAACAAGAACATCCACCACAACATCGAATTGCATCATGAAACCCTTCTGGACTGAATCTGATTGGTCGTGGGTTCGTATACCAACAAGACAATGAGCCCAATCAAACTTCGAAGCTGTGCAGAGATTATTTGAGCAAGAAAAAAGGAATCTGGAGTTCTGGAACTGACGGACAGGCCAAGTCAAAGTCCCTATCTGAATCCTATTGAACAAATTTGGGATGTAGTACATTAAAAGACTGATCGCACAAAGTTTCCTCAAAAGCAAGTCTGTGGGAACAGCTAGAAACTATTTGGAACTCAAAACAAAAGAGACTGTTGAAAAGTACATAAAAGCAATACCAGCAAGAATGCAAGCTGTTATCAAGGCCAAATGAGGCCATACTAAATCCTTTTTTTAAAATCATTGTGTCTGAAAAAGGACTTAGTGGTTCAAGTTTTTCATTTGCCAAATCAATAACAATAACATTTTGAATTCTATACACGTTTTTAAAAGATTTGTAAAATACTTATGTTTTCTTGTTTTTATGACAGATGGTCTAATAAATTTAAGTACTGCATATGGTTATTGCAATACATATTTTTTATATTAGCCACTTCTATTTAGAGCCACTAATAATGTAAGTTCAATGTGCATATAGGATAGACTTTAAAAATCCTATCTTTTGAAAACAGTTGCAAAAAACAGGATTAAAAAACCAACATGGCTATCAACAGTCTGAAATCTTCCAGTCTTTTTTTGTCTCATGCAAACAGACCAAGGAAGCACATCAAAGACATACTGCAAATGTGCAAATGAGACGAGAGATGAGTGTGTGTAAGAAGCTCCTTCCAATAGGTTTTAAAGCACTGAGCTCATAATGTATGCACACATATTTGATGTGAAGCAAATGTTATCCATACTGGTGATTTTATATTATTTTATACTAAGGAATACTGCCAGGTGCAAAACTAAAATATGTGCATCCTTCCATCAGTGTTCTTATTATTTGCGTCGATATACTGATATGTTTTACAAATGTGAATGCTGACAGTTATTGGCTAACTGTGTAATACCCAAATACGTTTTCTGAATCTGGGTTTTTGGATTGTTGTGCATGCAGACATATTTGGAACACTGTGTGGGAATTACCAGCAGCTTTACTTGGCTGAAGGGGATTCAAGCTTTGTGTTTTATTTACAGACCTCAGTCAGATTTTTTTTGGCTACACATCTATTATGACTGCAAACTCCTTGGCTACAAAATACATTTTCAGCCCACTAATTAAACTTTGTTCCAATTTCAGATATATGCTGTACACTGTTTTCTATTCACTGACACTGGATGGATAACATTTGTGTGTAAACAAAGTCTATCCAACCCAGTTGTAAGTGTGATCTGCTTTGTCAGGAAGAGTCCACAAAGTGGCCTGCTAGCTAATCAAACACCAAAGGTGTCACAAGCACATAGAAGTACTCTAGGAACTTACTTGTTAAAAAGATGGAGAGACTGTGGGTTTTGTTCAGGAACTGTTATTGGAGGGGCATCCTTGTATGTTATACGACTTGATTTGTCTCTGGGGCATTTACCATGTACAGCCTGCCTTCAGAAAGAAGGTGATATTTATAAAATAATTGGTAATTTAAAAATGAAGAAAATGCTACATCAGGCATCTTCAAAGATAGAGTCAGTGGTCAGTACAAATAAAATAATGACTGTCCCACTTCTTATTGTTGGATGTCCATAGTAATGGAATCCCAAAGTCCCTGATTTTAAATATTAAAATCCTTTATCCATTTTTTAAAAATTATTATTATGTATTAGTGAATTTGTTATTTTCTGCAGCCATGTAATTAATTTGATCTAAAACTAGGGCAAAGTGCTGTACCTGCTGTAATGCTGCCAAGGTCAATGAGCAGGTCAATGAGGTAAAGAATCCTGCACTTGGTAATGCAATTGTTTTTGATGCAATTACTTGGTGAAAGGAAAAACACAGAAAGCTGTTATTTATAATTGATTTTTTTTTTTTCCAGACACTGCATTTTGGCTTCATACAGCAGAATTTTACAAAATAAAACATTGTTTTCTTATTTAAGTTACAGCAGAAATTTATTTGAGAAAAATAGAAGTAAGTACATTTTTCTATTGTTCTTAAAAGAACAACAAAAAAACCCAGCTTTTTCAGAAAATTTGCATTGTGTCAATGAACTTGAATTGACAATCACACTTGTCTGCTTTTAATTCCTGAAGGACTTGGATTTTAAGTATACATAAAATACTGTACGCGGTCTTTATAAAAGTATATAAACTTTTTTTGTCGATAGTATATTGTCAATACATACTTTGTCAGATACAATAGAAGATACTAATATATCAAAGTGATGAGTCGCCAGTCATAGTGATGATGTATGACACAGTGTAACAGCACCAGTATATTATGATGTGAAGCTGAGATTGAAGACTCCAGGAGCAGACATTAAAAGAGACACTGGCACTGATTAAGCAGAATAAGGGACTGTATGTTACGAAATATTATAATCCGGTGATTGTATGCCTAACTCTGAGTTGATTTTTCTGATATTGTACTTGTTTAAAATTATTCTTTCTGAAGCAATAAGGCTAAGCAAAAGACCAATAAACCAATAAAAGAAGAAGATGAGGAGCCAGGGACTTTTAGAGGGAACCATGTACACAGTGGGAGTTGGACAAGAGGTGGGAAACCATGACGATGCTAAAATCATGCTGAGACAATGTCCTACTTAATGCCACATTCATATTCATTTACACATTGATTTTCCTACAACAGAGCTCAACACTGTTCAGCAGCAAACTCTCATTTTTTTTTAAAGTTATTTTTGGGCCTTTGTGCCTTTATTTGATAGTGTAGTGAGAGAGAGACAGGATAGTGGGGGAGAAGAATTGGGGGAAGACGTGTGGGAAAGGGCCTGTACATGGGACACCAGCTCAACCAGGTGAGCTGTAGCGGCGCCCCAGCAAACTCTCATTTTTATCTCTTATTTTAGAAGCTTCTCAGCAACTCAGTTCAACAAAAGTCAATGTTTCCCTTTCTAAATGAGTCTACATGGGTCAGTTCTTGGTCACTCAGAACCAGTTCTATACAATATGTTATAATATGTCTGAAATCAAATCAAATGTGTATATAGTCACCCCTCCACTGTGGAAGTCAGAGTCAAAAGCCAGCTGTCAAAGAGAAAAAGACTGTTCCAGTGGTAAAAAAAAAAAAAAAAAAAAAAAGCTCAAGTCCCACTGATTCTTTGCTCATAAAGTCATTTTTCTTTAGCTTTGTTAAAATCAAAGTTGTGATTCCTAATTGCAGCTTCTGTAATAGTTGTCTATGTCAACAGGAATTCCAGGAACACATTTCATTTTTATCAAAACACTGATGAAAGAAATCCTAAATGAGAGATTGAATACTTGTTGAGTTATTGAAGCCAAGTGAGCCTCTGTGATGACGAACAGGCATAATAGTGCACATTTTCTGGCACTCTCTCCAAGGACATATTAATGGTGTTGTTGGTTTGGTGGTCAAGGCCAGAATCCAGTACCTGGTGTTGAAAAGTTATAGCATAACCCTAGCTACAACTCTCAAACACTAAAGAAGATGTGTACATACACAGGTTATCACTTCAGTCAAACAATGTGAATGGGAGTCTCACCTCATAGTCAAGTGCTCTTAGTTCTTGTATTTAGAACCTATTATGTTTTATTTCTTATGTGTTATGTTGGGTTCATCACTTTAGAATGATCTAACTAACCAAACCTACTAACTGTAGGATTCAGCATCAACCCATATTATAACTGTAACCCTTCAGTTCCTTGCAGTCTCACCAGTTTGTGTTTGGCATCAGTAAGGTGCGTCTCCTCATAGCTGTCGTCGTGGGTGGTCCAGCTGTAGGACACCAGGAAGTGGAGGATGGGTGGGTGGTAGGTGACCTCTGGACGAGCCCAACGGACCACTAGAGCACTGCCATTCACATGCTGCACCTTCATGTTGATGGGAGCACTGCTGCACACTGGAAAGAGGATGGAGGCAGAAACGTAAAGAAGAATCATAGGAGTGAGGGGAATGAAACAAGGAAGATTAAATAACGTCATAGTAGGAGAATAAAAAAGACAACAGGACAAGTGGAAAATGGATGGAAGTTGAAAATGAGAGGGCAAGTAAGACATGGAGAGTGAGTGTAAGCAAAACAATGCAGAGTGTAAAAGAGAAAAAGGATAGTTCATAGTAAAATATGGGAAAGATAGCAGTGGAAGAAGACAGATGAAAGGATGATGAGAAAAGAAAGGGTTAGAATAGAAATGAAGTAGCACGAAAAGAAGAGAACGAAAGGAGAAAAAGGGGGAAATTGACAGAAAAAGGATGGAAAGTAATAAGAAAGAAATTGGTGATGTGAAGAATGACAGCAATGAAAGGGGAAAAAAGAAATGGATTGCCAGATTAACACATCAGGAAAAAGGATTGGAATAACAATATAATATTGAGGCATACAGCCAGAAAAGGGGGGAAAGAAAGGGGGAAGGATGGAAGAAAAAAATGAAAGAAAGCAATAAGAAAAAACATAGAAATGGGAACAGGGTGGGAGAAAAACATTGAAGGGGATGAATTGAAGACACCAATGGTGTGATGCAAGGTGAAGAAAGAAAGAAAAAGAAATGGGGCAGAAGGGCAGATGTGAAGGGAGAATGAAGGAAGTAAATTAGAATTAAAGAGAGAAATAGTCACAGGGAGATTGTTGAATGACTGAATACATTGGCTCAGCTTATCTTTCAAATACATTCAGAGTGGGTTATGTGAGCAAACACATACGCATGCACACACACACACACACACACACACACACACACACACACCAGCACAACCCAGTTCTCTGTATGAATGGCAGGACTAAAACTCATGAGCACAAATGAATGCTCTACACACAAGTGTCTCACACACACACACACACACACACACACACAGATAAATGCAAACAAGCACACACATGCACACAAGTTCATATATCTAATAGGCTTCAGGCAAAATGCAGCCAAGCTGTTCCATCTTCAGATACTGGCACTGAGAGATACAAAAGGCAGGCACATAAACCCTGTAGGTTTTATTTTGAATTTAACAATACACATCTTTGTGAACCAACTGTAGCTATCTTTCATTATGATAGGACCAGCCCTGCCTTGCCTGCTGTTTACCACTACATGTTTCTGTTTGACCAGTGAGGTTTTCTTCTTAGCTAGAGCACGCTGTAGATGCAGTATTTGATAAGATAGTCTCAAATATTGCCGGGACCATATATTCACTTGCAGAGCAAAATCTGTACTTGAAAAGGTTTAGAATGCAAAGCAAGCCTGATGCATGATCGTCTGCTGTCTTGAAAAAAAGTTGTGTAAAATACATTTCTACACTGCTAATTCTATCTGTACAACAGAGTCATGTGATGCACACTTTTTTGGTCTGAGTTTATTCTGCTATGACAGAAATAGTGTTTTCAGTCCATTTTATTATTTTGCTGTTTGAAGTTAGGCAACCGTCACTGACATACATTATACACTGCACATGTACTGTACTCTACTGGAGCCCAGAAAGCATTATCCCTTGTAGGCTTTTAATGTGACACATAAGACGAAAGTGTTGAGGTTAACTGCTGGAGACTTGACATCATTCCAATGCACGTGTTCCAAAGTAAAACTTCTAAAGAGTATATTTGTTAAATTACCCCTTACTGTTTCTGTATAAGGGCCTGTGTTTGTACGTTTGATGAGCAGGGCTGCAAGGTGGCTCGGTTGTTCACACTGTCGCATCACAGCTAGAAGATCTCCAGTTTGCATCCTGATTAGGATGCCTGGGATCTGACGCCTGGGATCTTTCTGTGTGGAGTTTGCATGTTCTCCCCGTGCAGCATGGGTTCTTACCAGTTGCTCCAGCATCCTCCCACAGTCCAAAAACATGTTAAGGTTAGTTGGTGATTCTAAATTGTCCGTAGGTGTGAATGTGAGTGTGCTTGTTGTCTCTTTGTGTAGCCCTGTGATAGACTGGCGACCTGTCCAGGGTGTCCCCTGCCTTCGCCCTGAATCAGCTGGGACAGATTCCAGCCCCCCCCGTGACCCTTGTGAGGATCAATCGATGTACAGATGATGGATAGATTTTTGAGTAGCAGCATTAGTAATAGTCAGTCTAATATGTTGGCCAGTATGAGTTTAGACTTTTAATCATGTTTTCTTCACTGACCATCTAGCATCTGTAGGATCAACCAGCCACAGCCAACTTTAAAACAAAGGAAGAGCAGATTTTCATTGACCTCCTGTAGCCTTGGAGTTTACCACCTTCGCATTTAAGAACTGGAGAAAGGGTTCCCTGTGATCAGTGAAGCAAAGAACACAGAACACATCTGACCAGATGTGAAACCCAAAAGAAAGACACCTTCCAGGTCTGTCAGGATGGTGTGAAGTTTGTGTTCTCAGGAGGCAGCCACGAGAAGGTAGATCTGGAGAGGAGCCCACAGCACACACCTCCAGATGAGAACACTGTTATAGTAACTTTCTTGGCGTTTGACCTATGCTCGACCTGCTTAACCCAAAAACAACCCCTTGTCTGGAGTCAAAGGGAAGTATGTCCTGTATGTGCAAGTAACAGACTAACTGCAAAGTTTTGTATATTCTATGAACTGTATCTGTCAGACCTTAGACACCTACGTTGGTACTTCGCCTACTCCCACCTCCTATCTTTTGCTTTATAGTCAGCACACACTCCTTTGTTCTTCCTTTGCAGACTGCTCTACACTCTGTATCACGATTAACCTCTGCACAGAGAATAAAATACTCAAAAGTTGCTTTTGTTGCTTTTTCTCAGATGTTTTTATTTCAGTATAACAAGACTCACTTGATAAATTATTAAGGAAAACAGTAGTTTTTCCACCACAACATCCACAATGCATATTGGGGTTGCAGTTTAGCCAAGTGACTGCCTCACATCCTCAGTCACTACCAGGACTGCAAAGGACCAAGTGGCTGCCAGAAACACTCTGACTGACTTTTGACATTGCAGGAAGTGAGGGTCAAAATCGTGACAACAGCATCAAAAGGATTTCACTCCCACTGACAATGCCACAAGAAACAACAGACTTACATGAGACCTGCTGAACATTAATTTCAAAAATCGTATTATTAGCAGTTTAAACCATACGCTTCCCTAAAATCTTTTATTTAGCATGTTTATGTGTAAAACTAGAAGTTTAACATGTCGGATGGTTATGCATGCATATTTAGTCTTGTTTTGATTGTGTCTTCACCAGGTGCACAAATATAAATGATGTATCACAATACTGTACTGTTTTGAAACCATATAACCCATAGGAAATCTTAAAGGTGTAACTCAGTCATGGATCAATCATGTCAAGCATGTGGACATCAGTCCTCCCTGACAAAGGTTTTGCCATTCCCTCTTGAGTTAATTATATGCAAAAGTCCCTTACCTGAAAGCACCACTTTAAGTCCTTCCTGAGTCCTTCTATGAGTCCTCCATAAAATGTCTTTACGAACCACTAGGAAGCTACACTCTGTCCACCGCTGTACTGACCCATATTTACAGTCCAACCCAACCATCAATGGACCCATCAGTCAGCAGAAGCACGACGTGCACGCTAGTAACTTTCAGTCACTAAATCTCGATGCAACTCTCTAAATTCTCTTTTATTCCCAAAAGTAAATTATTACAAAATTCCTAAATAGCCTAACACTGAATTAGTGACTGCTTTCAAGTGTGGTCTATTCATCCCTTCATCTCAGAACACCATATTACACCATGTTATTGACCACAATATAGAATTGTGTCCTTTCCCTTCCTTAATGTGTGTTAATAGTGTGTTGTAGTTAGTAGTTGTTATCATGTTGTTACTTTGAAAGATGTTATTAATTACAAATAAATCAATACATTTAATAATAATAAATCTAGTTGCTTTGACTGTTTTGTTGTTCACACTTCGGTCCCTAACTTGTATTCCAGCTACCTAGCTTTTATCAGTAACTTTCAGATCTAAGTATTTCACTGGCTATCAGATTGTGTAATAGCTCTGCATAAGCATCCAAAACCCATTAAAGCATACTGCTGGATCCAACCAACGCTCTTGTGACTGACTGGGACTGGGATCAAGACAGCCTTCAAAGAGAAGCAGAGGCTGTTGTAGTTGCAGATTAATGAAGGAATGTTTGATGTCCACATATGTTAGTATTGTAGTGTAACTGCATATTGCGCAGCAATGTGTTAGATTACTTTTTGTTGAGAAAGAGAGAGTAGTATAGTACTGACCAAACAATGCACATAACGATTATCTCAAGCCCTGTCTCATATTATGCACATGCACAATTTAATTCAGTGATGAACATGGTGGGATAAAGAATAGGGCTCACATGCCCAGTGGAACCAAATTGATGAGCTTGTTCATAAAGAACTGCGGTGGAGTTTTTCTATTCATAAACTGTAGTCGAGCCCCATATGGCTATTGCTAAAGCCATTAGTCACACACACAGAAGCACACATGCTCACTAAGTGGAACACACACATTCCCATACATAGACATCATTTGTAACACAAGCAGTGAATGACCTATGCAGAGAAAACATATTTAACAAATGATATCAACCTGGGCCCAGCGTGTGTGTCTTAAAGGGCCCCGCTATCATACATGCTCTCTCATTTGTGTGGAACACTAAAACAAAGTTATTGGTAAAGTTATTAGTTACACCTGTGCTTTTGCTGGTAAGTTAAAGAGGAATTTCACTGCTGGAAAGAAAGTTATGTCTTAAGACTAGGCAATCTAAAGGTGCAGTTATTTTTGAAGTTGAAAGTCTCTGACCATAGGAAACAGAGAAAAGAGGCCATATTAGTACATAGTGCTCAAAATCTATTATTTTCAATGATGCTTCTCAGGCTACTGCTTCTGTGGAGGCTGGTCTACAAACAACAAGATGTACAGTTCTTGAAGGAGTTTTGCAGAAAGAGAAAGATGCAAGTAAAAGT